GCTCGCGTGATTTATATTTTATAAAATGAATAGGCTTCTCCAACGATATATTTTTGAATATCGATATCGTTTTGAATTGTGCGATATCGAAAAAAAATGAAGGTATGGATATATCGATATCGATATTCCGATATCTCTATGACTATCATAATAAAATTACTCAAAAAATAAAATAGGTTAGGTACCTTTTTATTGGTACTAGGTAGTAACTAGTAGGCAGTAAGTATTAGTTATTACTTTATTAGTTAACAATTAATTGTTTTAAAATATTAAATAATAAATATTTTATTCAAGAGCTTTGGCATTAAAATCAGTTCAGCTTATAAAGATTAAAGGGCTATTAATTATTATAGCCTTAAAATACAGCAGCAAAGTTCTTTTTGATAAGAATGTTGGTTGGTGGTTACTTGTTACTGGGTCTTGGCATTGTACAGCAATTTATTATTTACATCTGTTATCACTTAGCAGTTAGCAGTTAGCATAAAGTAATATCACTAATTAAATAATAAATATCAACAGGGGCTGCTTCATAAAAAAAACTTTCCTTTTTATTCTTTCTAAAATAGGTAATAAAATATAAAAACAATAAACATTAGTTTTTAACATCATCTTAAATTTTTCTTCAGTCTAGTTAGTAGAAACTAGATAGTCTCTTCGGTCTCTTCATACTTAAATTCTTTATCCTAATTTWAAAAAAAATAGGATTTTTAAATAATAAATATTAAATATTAATTTATTGCACATATATTATTCAATATTCAATAAGTACCTACCCACCTTAAATAATTATAATTTAACAATAAATCGACTATGCATATGGACATAATATTTTTAGTTTTTACTACATTATTATTTATTTTTTATTAATTATTATTTATTAGTTATTACTAATAATTAGTATGTACTAGGTACTCACTTTAATTGGTTCTCCTGTCCTCAAGAATGAGTTGAGAAATAGTAGATCATTTACTCTGGCATTAATCTAGCTCTTTTTTGTGATACAACTTGCCCGGCTTTGCTAAAAAGTCGTTCACTCGGAACACTTGTGGCCACAATGCTTMGACACTTTTTTGCCAACTTGGCAATAACAGGAAATTTGTATTCGTTAGATTTCCACCAAACTAAGGGGTCAATACTTTTTGGAACATTTTCTTCAGACTATTAGTACCGTTTCAGCTGTTGGACGCAATTATTTGCTATATCTTCATATTTGTCATGGTCGTCTTCATCATCACTGTCCGCAAGTAAAGAGTGACTTTTTTGTTTTTCTTTATTACAAGGCTTATCAACGTYGTTTTTTACTTCTTTCACAGAGCACTCCGATGTGGATGGCCGTTTTATATTTTCATTATAGGTCACATCTGCTTCATTTTGTAGTAATTCTTGTTCCAGTAATGCCCATGTATTTATATTTTCTTCTTCCGACAGATATTATAGACTGCGATAGCGTGGATCTAAGGCAGCAGCTTTGTGTATAATATTTCCCATTTTATTTTGTCTTTTTTTTTAGATCAGAGCTAATGAGTAAYTTTATTTCATTTGCAATAACACTGTCTGCTGATATACATTCAACAGAACTTATCAAGTTCTTAAATAATCTTCCAACAATTGATAACGTTACATATTATCACMACCAAGAATTTCAGTAGCCGATTTAAATGGTTCCAAAATGTTTATTAAATCAGCAATAATTTCATTTTGACTTATTGTTATGTACCATTCTTCAGTCATACGGTTACTTCTTAAACAATTATTAATAGCATCACGGTTTTTAAATATAATCACCATCATATCATGGGTAGAGTTCCATCTAGTTACACAATCTTGTACCAGTTTAKTCTTAKGAATTTTAAGTTGGTCTTGTTCTTCTTCGAGGCTGCGTTGAGCCACTGCACTTCTGTGAAAATGGCCAACTATTTTACGAAGCATCATTAGAAGTTCTGTAATTGATTGATGTCTATAAYTTATAGCCAGTTGTATGCTATGGGCAGAACACCTTTTTAACACMAAATTTACTTCTTCCAAAGTTTGTACCGCCTTGGTCATATTTGGTGCATTGTCACAGACTATTGCACAGACTTTTCTATCAATTTCCCAATAATCCTTAATAATTGTATTAAGATTATTCACAATGTTCGATGATGTGTGAGACTCTTCAATGTTCACTGTCTCTCAGGGGCGGATCTTGGATATTTTGATAGGGGGGGCACATATAAATTATATAATGATTCTTTGATGATATAATTAATAATACATACTCTTATTTTTAAACAAAATTGGTAATAATAATAATAATGATAATAATAATGTTGATTACATAATATCACATACCATATAATAATAATTTATACATATATGTAGTCATTAATAAGTAAATAAGTAAAAATATTTTATACGTGTCACATTTATACGTATTATAAGTTTTAATCCCAAATAAAAATAAATCTAAAAAATACAAATAAAGTTCTATTAAAGAATGTATGAAAGAAAATTACAATTTGGTTAAGCTATTTTTAAATTAATAACTCGATAGTTTTCTATAGGTATGATTAACGATTAGCAGCCGACAATRACGAGCGTACACGCAGTTAATTTTAAAAAATAGAAATAAACTACCCAATATATTAGTATATTTTACCGTATGGACGACGCTGCCTGTCGTCCAAAACTTGAATACATATAAGATGTATAAGCGTCAATAGACAATAAATATAAACGTAAAAATATGCGATTAATCAGCGCTTGTGAAAAAAAACATACTTCAATAAGTTAATAAATGGTTTGTCACAATTACACTAAGCTTAATAGTGGTGGTTTTGGTTRTATTGTTATGAAATTAAAAATATAAACTTACATTTAGCGTTGAAGCGTAGCCCTTCGTCTGTAGCAATTTCACAATTACACTATTATTTTATAAAAATTATAGTGTTATAACTTATAACAGTGCTGTGTGCTTGTGTGCAGTACGGCCAGTACGAAATTAAATTGTAAGTACCTATACCACGTCGTTGTCGCKGCGTCGCAGCGGTGTCGCGCGTTAAGATAACGCAAGACGTGTGCTCCGGGCCTAATGGTTATAAATAGAGATCGATAAGATACTAAGCTGTAACTCCTTTTATCAGTTTAAATKTACCTAATATTAATGATTTTACTAGTAGGTAAAAGGTAGTATTATTTTTATTTACAACTGTATTTTTATTTATATGATACTCGTAGTAACATAAAAAAAATGTTGATAGAAAATGGACAGGGGGGGCACGTGCCCCTGTRCCCCTCCCCTGGATCCGCCACTGCTGTCTCTAACACTCTACTTTTTAACTTCCAATTTTCAATGCAATGACATGTAAACACCAAGGTTATTATCGGTTATTTTAACGGCTCGTAATCAATTGTAAGACAAATAGTAGGTATTTTTTGAAGATGGCTTTTAAAGTTAATTTTTTCTTGTGAAGTTATATGATCAGATAGTCTTGTTATAGTTGAGTTACTACTTACTAGGGACAACATATTCAGGAACAGCCAAATTCATAAACGCTCTAAACCCTTTTCCTYCAATAACATTATACGGCCGTACATTTCTAACAACAAAGTTCAGTAGACCTCTAGTTAGYTCTTTGTGTCGTTTACTATTGTGTGACAATTTAGACTTAGAACTTGTAAAAAATGATKATATTGTGGATGTTTCGGATTTAGAAGGGCCTTTTGTGCATTGTTGTAAGTGTGATTTTAGATTTGTTGTGTTACCGGAGTATGCTATTAACAGTGAGCAGTTACGGCAAGTAACTTTTTTAGTATTTGTTATTACACCACTAGAATCTACTTTAAAACCAAATGTCTTCCATACATCACTCCGCGCACCAGCTAATGACACAAGTTTATAATCAGCCATTATTATTTAATATTTATTAACAATTATTAAAAAGTAAAAAACATTTAGACAATTACTATATTAATGAGAAAAACAAAAAAATATTTTAACAAATCACAAACGACACCGGAACATCCGAAACTATCAAGCGATAAACACGGACTAACTGACTGAGATACAGAGGTATGATACTATTAGATTAATGAGTAATGAGTCAYTGGGAAAAATAATTGTTATTCTTTTTTCTGTTATCCTGTCCTATTTTCAACCCGGAATACCCAATGTATTTCGATTATCGATATATCGTACGATATATTATGATTATCGATACCTAAATTTCCGAAAAAAGTTCGCGATATCGATTTCGAATCAAAATATCGATATCGTTGGAGAAGCCTATTAATTTATTATACTACGTATGTGACGTTTTTGTGTTTTGCTTATTATTTTTTTTCATTTTAGCCACGTCCTATTCTAGTAAGCACGACGATTATGATGCTACCGTCGAAAAACGTAAATTATTAAAACCAAYKAGTTCGATTGATGYTAACTGTGGGAAATTTGTACAAATTTCAATTATATCTCTAACTGTAGTTATCGCAAGTTGGTAAGCAGACTTTTGGTTCAATATAAACAGTACATAATGTGATCTAACTCAATAGTTTCATAATACCACCATAATTTTCAGTTTGGTTTTCATAACTGGACTATTTTTTATGGAACATCACTACAGAAATCAACTGACATTCACAAGCGAACATGAGCTGTGAGTATTAGATTCTTACATATTTTCATTATTTTATCTCTTATACACACRATGACTGTATCGATAATAGCTTATACATATTTGCATGAACTATAGGTATTAGGTACACATAGCAATAAATAATATCTATTAAATTAAAAATTGCATTCAATCGACTGTAAATTATACATACATCATACATCATATAAATTTTATCATTATTTATAATACATTTTATTAGCTACAAGTAGATAGGTTTTATGCAAACAATTATGTAATCTAATTATTTTTTTTTTTTTGAAATTCCCCAACAGTATCATCAAACCTTTGAATATGAATTTAATGCAGACACATGCGAGTATCGTTCAGCCAAAGGACACAGGTCAATTACCGTTGGAAATAGACGGATTTTTTGACAAAGACAAACATTTGACCTGCATGCGGCTTAGGCGACTTGTAACCAACATCAGAAGTTGTGAAGTATGATAATATTTGAACGATAATATAAATATATAATAAATGATAAAAAATTAATATTATATGCGAACGTTTTGTAAAACGCCTAGAAAGCAGATTGCCAATTATATTTCCATCTATAATTTTTTACTTCCTATATTATAGTCACTCACTACCCTCAAMAATGGTTAACGATTACTCCATTGTTCATTGCCGACCCAATACCTAATAGCGGGGTACCTTAATTACGTCCCGTTCAAAAGGTATACACGAATTKCGTCCCACATATTTGATAGGTAGTAGAATTTTCATTTCGTTTTCAGGGGTTCTCCAAGGTATATTTTTTAAATACATTTTATGTGAGCAGAAGTTCAAATCTAAAAGTTTTAGTTTTTAAGCAAATTTTGGGATTTTTTTCAACTTTGTTGCAATTTCCGTATAGATATATTGTATTCATAAAATCCAATTACTAGTATAGTATATAGTAATAATGGTATCTTATCGAAATTAAGATAATATCACGTCGGTAGGTATTTAATGGATTTACCAAGCTGATATAAAATATTTGATTAGGTAGGTACAGTATCTATTAATAATATTGTTGTGTTTAGTACATCTTTTACTGAAGTTCAGTCTTCGTTCTTACTTGGTTTTTAGTTTTTCGTATACCTACGTGAGCTGTTATAACTGTYTAGTTTTTATATATTATTTAGAATTGAAGTGCAAAATATTRCTATATTAAGTGAAAAACAAAAGAMTTTGAAAATAATTGATAATTATAAGTTCTGTTTCCAWAAATGTTTGGCTAATAATAYTCAACGTTGGAAATGTACGGTGAAAACGTGTAAAGCATATTTAAAAATTAACGAGAATGATCATGTTTTACTTAAYGTGAGYGAYACTGCCCACAACCACGATGCACTATCTGAAGCAATTATAAAGCGGCAAATTGTAAGTAACTCACTTAAACGAAAAGGTACACAAGAGTTATATGAAAGACCAGCTAAACTAATGCATCGAAATTTAAAAGAAAGTATTGATGTCAGTGTTAAAAATACATTAAAAATTACCGATATCCGCTATATAAAAAATTATTTATATCGAGCTCGCAGTGAACAGCTACCAAAATTGCCAACAAATATTTTAACTGTGTACTCAGCATTAAATGCAGTGTTGTGCAATWGCTAAATTTAGTTAGATAAATTTATCTAGATACCTTATCTAGATAAAACAATCGTATATTTTATTTTATTTAGATAAATTACACAATTGGTATCTACCTGTCATCTAAGATAGAAAACTTCGTAATCTAAATTMATTTATCTAGATTGTTCACGAGACGTAGTCTGAAAAATATACAAAYATAATATTTTCTRATATTATTTTTAAAATTGTRTAATATACTCGCATTATATATATAATGAATTATACGTATATATTTAGGTACCTAGAATTATTATTGTCATTTGTCGCTAATGTGCACCACATTTAAGAAATTAATAATA